TCATAAGATTATCCTGGCATTTTCTTTTCTCAGATGGCATTAAACTACAACTTTTGGGGTATTTTTCCCAATTAGATAAAAAAGAATCTCTTTATCCAACTAGTACAAATGCCTTTAAAATAATATGAGGCTTGGCAGGATGGCACATGTCTATAATCTCAGCACTTGGGAGGCAGCGGCAGGAGGACCTCTGTGAGTTCAAAGCCAGCCAATACAACAGTGAGACCCTGTCTCCAAACAGTAGTAGTAGTAGTCATATAAGCTGAGCATGGCGATTCAGACCTGTAATCTCAGCATTCAAAGGAGTATCATCCTGAGATTTAAGGAAGCCTGGCCTTGAGGGCAGCCTGGATTACAAAGCAAGATCCTGTCTCAAAAAACTGAACCCATACATACACCAACACACACACACACACACACACACACACACACATACACACACACATACACACACACACATGCACTCACACACATACACACACGCACACACATACACACTCATGCACACACACGCACACACATGCACACACACATGCACGCACACACATACACATACATGCACACACACACGTAGGTATGTATGGTTTCAGCACTTTTTCTTGTGCCATTGTTAAAAACACTAATGATATTAGTTTCCAACTCCCCCTTTGCCCTCACTGCCTTATCATAGTTACTCCCGACTTCCTTTTAAAGGTTTTAAAAGGCGATTATTTCTTTTTAAATTAAAAAAACCCTAAATATTCAAAAAATGGTTCTTCCTTTTAAAAGGTTATTATTGTATATGTTTCAGCTATATAACATACGTGACTGGCAACATACAAAGACTAAAGGAGGAACCACAGTGAAGCAAATCAGCATACCTGTCATCTCACAGAGCCGGTCATGTTTTGGCGCTAAGCACTCACTCACATCAACTCATTTAGCATGGATCTCAGACATGGTACGTAACCAAGCACAGTGGTTTCACAACTCGGCGAGCACGAAATCCAAACAGGCATGACCAAGAAATGACAGGGAGGGAAGTCTGCTCCCTGCAGCATGCAAGGGACTAGCAGCGTCGCTTTGTTCCTAAAGCAGCATCCTCTCTCAGGGTGTGCATGCTCCGGAACACTCACTCAGGGAATACATTTCTGAGCATGTTCAGTTTAAGAAAGAAAGACAGCGGGCACATTTTCAAGTATGCTCAGCTAGGGGTTAGGAGGCACACATTTCAAAGGTCAACATGGTAGAAGGGACACTTTGGGGTATGCTCAACTTGTATCATGAAGATGGCAAGAAGGAAAGCACCTGGGCATGCTTACTTCCCACATAAGGTTTTAGCTGCAGAAGGGAAAGGGTACTTTTTGAAAATACATTAATACAGTAGTTTGTCTCTAAAAGGTACCTACCTCATAACTCAGCAGCCAATAAACATATCTTTATTAATATAATTCTCATGTTGTACATAGATCTCTTTTCAGTTTCTTAAAAGTGAAACCTTAGCCAGGCGATGGGGTACATGCCTCCCAGCCCTTGGGAGGAAGAGGCAGATGGATCTCTGAGCTCGAGTTTGAGGCCAGCCCAGTCTACAGAGCGAGTTCCAGGACAGTCAGCCAAGGCTGTTACACAGAGAACCCTGTCTTGAAAAATCAAACAAAAAACCAAAATTCTTAGCCAGATAGTGGTGGTGCAATCCTTTAATCCCAGCACTCAGGAGGCAGAGGCAGGCTAATCTTTGTGAATTAGAGGCCAGTCTTGTCTACAAGAACTAGTTCCAGGACAGGCTCCAAAGCTGCACAGAGAAACCCAGTCTCAAAAAAAAAAAGTGAAATCTTGCCATTATCAATGATCTTTCTCTCCATTCCCCGTTAAATCAAGCAAGTCATGTGTATAGTTTGTTCCAGACCCAATCAGCGTTTACCTCTCACCTTGAGTTTGGCAGCATTCTAACCCATGGCTCTTATGTATCACCCCCAAAAGTCCCCCAATCCATGCCAGAGTAGTTTCCTTCTCTGTTATTTCAGGCCTGTAATCTCCATTTTCCCTGAATAATGTCACTGGAGAACTCTTGAGATGTTTCTTGCTTCCATTTGAATGCTATATTTTCACCTTGAGTTCTTTTTATGCTTCTTCCCGCCCACCTCCTCCTGTTCAGTCTTTACATTAGCACCTTCCAATTTTATATGCTCCATGTTACTTTGCCAGTGCAATTAAAGCATTGTGTCAGAATACTCTGTCCGGACCTCTCTACTCCAGGACTCAGTCTGTGATCACGCCTCAACACCTTCAGCTCCCCTTGAAAACGGTTCTTTTCCCAATGTCTTGGAATTTAGTGGCCACATTCCCCATTCCACTTGGTCAGCCATTTTCCTTTTTACCTATTTTCCAAAGTCTCTAGGTAAAGACTTGCCAGATCATTTTGGTTCTTGCCAGATACTTTTGACTATTGCCAGATTGTTTTAGTTATTGATCTCCATATCCCCATCCTCAGATGGACTGTACTTTTGGACATTTAACTTGCAGTAATAGGGAAAGTCAGGCAAATAGTCCTCAAATGGGCAACCTGACACTTCCCTTTACCGCTCCATCTTTATCTCCTACACCTTTTCAATCTGGCCAGGAATAGTCCTATGCTACGGTAAACACACTCCCTCTAATTCTCCTCATCCAGAAAGAATCCTCTCCACAAATGCGGGCCTCCCTTAAGGATGCTGCTGGAGCCCTGACTCCAGTGCCGCTCTGGAAGAATAGAATCCATTTCCTGGAGGATGAGCCCTTCAGGGTCCGGGTAGGGGAAGTTCTAACACTTTTCCTGCTTCCTTTCAGACCCAGGACCTTTGACTAATTGTCTTCCTCAGCTCCTCAGCTATCGCTGGGTCTATGGGGTCAACTCATTCGACACCTGGTACGTATTCTCCTTGCTGCTCATACTCTTTTACACATCCTTGTAGCTTGTCTTCTGGATTCTACCTCAGATCCTCATTTCACCTGGCAATATTTCTCCTGCAATTTTCCATCCCTCCTGCTTCCTAAAGCCCTTCCAGCTACTCCCGAACCCTAGTGAGCATTCTAATCCTTCAGTTTTCCCATTCCTCCCACACTGGCCTCCCCTCCTTCTCTTGACTCCTATGGCTGATATCCAGACGTTCTCTTTACTAACTCCCTCAGTTCCCTACCAGTAAGCCTTGGTCTGTAATTGATGTGGGAGTGTCATATATCAATCTGTTGATTTCATTGGCTAAGTAATAAACAAACTGCTTGGCTGGCCCTTATAGGTTAAAACATAGGTGGGAGGAGTAAACAGAACAGAATGCTGGGAGGAAGAGGAAGTGAGCTCAGACTCGACAGCTCTCCTCTCGGGGGCAGACGCCTAAGGGAGACGCCTAAGGGAGACGCCATGCCCCGCTCCCGGGCAGACACATGCGATGAAGCTCCGACCCAGGATGGACATAGGCTAGAATCTTCCCGGTAAGACTGGTGCTCACAGATTATTAGAGATGGGTTGCTCGGGATATCAGAATTAGCCAGTAAGGGCTAGAGCTAAAGGGCCAAGCAGTGTTTAAATGAATAAAGTTTGTGTGTTGTTATTTCGGTCATAAGCTAGCCAGGCTGCCGGGGTGCTGGGGACGCAGCCCCGCCGCTCTTATTACTACATGTAATTCCTAGACTACTGCATGGGGAGTTCCCAACTTCCTATGAACACCCTCTGTATGTAACCTTGTTTAGGCTCCTGGAAGTCTCATCCAAATCCCTCCAAAGTCCCAGATCCAGTGACCTACTTTTAGTTTGGCCTATCCCATTTTCTTCCAAGTTGCCATTATGGATGAATGAAACAAAATATTATATTTCTGTTATAATGCAGTTCTTTAAATATGCTATTGGGCCTATGGGCATGGCCGTTAATCCCACCACTCAGAGGGAGAGGCAGGCAGATCTCTGTGAGTTTGAGGCCAACATGGTCTACAAAGAGAGATCTAGGACAGCTAGAGATGTTTGCTACACAGAGAAACCCTGTCTTGAAATACCAGTAAAATTGCTATGGGATCAGAGAGAGAGAAATGCTAGACCATAAACTTGAAGTTGGGTTGGTAGGGACATGGGGAGGATCTAGGAGAAGTTGAGAGAGGGGAAAAATACTATCAGAATATATTATATGGAAAAATTCAAATAAAATATAGTAAGTAAGCATTAAAAATAAAAATACTCTTGTATAATTCTGTTATTTTATCTATAAAATAATGTATGGAGTGGAAGACCAAGGTAATATGGAAGCTGAAAACTGAATTGTGGTTAATCTTGCTGGTCATGAGGATGACGTAGATGGATAATTAATGCATTAAACAAAAAAAAAAAGAGAGATGTATAAGACCAGTGTTAAAAGATAGCGCTGGAATCCTAGGATCCATTTTCTAGATGTCATCTCCTAGAAGCTAACATTCAGGAGCAACTGTTGACTCAGAGAGAAGAAGGAATCCGGTCAAAAGGATACGGATCAACTCCCCGCCAACCACACGATTTTATATCCTCTGTGCAAAAGAAGACGCACCAGCAGAGCTACTGAATTCAGAGCTGATGAGTCAAGGAAGAAAAGTCATCAATTTGAAATTTACCAAAGGAATCTCTTTTCACACATAATTAGTGTGTGATCAAAGTGAAGACTTGCTATACAACGTGTTAATTTCCACGCAAAATAAAACAGAGTACATTTCTCTTCATCCTGTACCATTTCAACCTTTATGACATACAAAAGACAGCAAGATACACAATCTAACTGATATACAGATAGCCACAATGTTGAACAAATAATCTAATTATATTTTTTTAGCCAATCTCTGAGATGTGTGAAAAAAAGCAAAAGACATGTCTCTACGAATCTTTGAGTTTCTAAGATGAAAAAAACCTGCTATATTACATTTATATTTGTGGTATAGACATGCATACAACAAAACTAATATTGTTATGTGGCCTAGGACCGCCCTCACTCAACAAAAGCACAAATAGTTAGAACAGCAATCGTTTACCTTATAGAAGATCAACAAAAGATCATCCAATTTCCCATGCAAATCACCTGAAATACAAATGAAAAAACATCACTATTCCATAAGCACCAAGATGCAATGCTTCCTTTGTTATAAAATTTTAAATCTCAAATACCCCAAGTGTTCTCATGGGATTGGGTTTTCACCTTGTGTTGATGATACTAATTGAATATGCACTTTGCTTCCACGAACTCTTTCTTCCCCTCCTGTGGTGCGAATGGGGGCAGACAGCATCTGGAACCTGTTTTCTCTAGTCTTTCGTAGGGCTTCATTCCTTCTGAGCTAAACTCTATACTAAGATATTTATGTTTATTTTCTTATTCAATCCTCAACAAGCATTTTATGAAATGCGTAGTAATGTCATTCTTATATTCCAAATGAGGCCCAGTGTAGTTAAGAAACGTGTACGATCACCCAGTCACCAAAATCAGAGCTAGAATTCAAACCCAGCATATTCTCACCTCAAAATTAAAACTCAGAGTGATTTACTCTGTACTGCCTATATTTTCAGGCTCAGGAGAGGAGCAAAAATACCTATCACAGGAAGCACTAACTCTCCAAGGACCTACCATAGAACCCAGGGAGTTAAAAACATGAACTCTTCAAAGACCTACCATAGAACCTAGGAAATTGCAGGCACTCAATATGTGGCATGCATTTAGTTGCTAAATCCACAGCCATTCACAAAATCTAAACCATTGCTGGGTTTTGCTTTATTTTACTTCTAACTTTAAAAGTTTAAAAAGTATGACTAGATAGTTGAAATTCTTTTGACAAGACAGTTATAGGGAAAAACAAATCCAACTAAGGGAAACTATTGAATATATGACTCATTAATTAAAAAATGAGCGACTATATGAATATTCAAAATTTCTATTTGGATAAATAGTTTTAAGTAAAATATCTATCCTTCATAATCTATGCTCAAAATTTGTATTCAACTTAATTACCATTTAATTTAATTTAGGAACTTTTTTTCCAGTTTAAAATCCCACAAGCAAGATAAATCAAGTCTATGTGACAGAATCTTTAATTACACTAGAAAGAATAAAGCTTAAGTCCTACATCACCAGCACTTATTTATAAAATTGTCATAATAGTAACAATAAAATAAAGGGGCATATTGATGTTAGTGGATACTTAAATGTCAATACCTTTAGATAGTCTCCCTCCAAAAGCTAAACAGTTAAAAACTTAATATATTTTGCTAATTATTTTGCTTTCCTAATTTTCTTCAGAGTCATTTGCCTTTTAAAAATATGAGTATTTTGGCAGTGGAGATAATTCAGTGAGTATGGAGCTTGCTAATCAAGCCTGACAACCTGAGTTCGGGTCCCCATTAACCAAGTGTAAACAACATGCAGTGGCCCCCATCTGTAACCTCAGTCCTGGAGGCAGCAGAGCCAAGCAGAGTCCTGGAGCTCACTGGCTAGCCAGCCTTGCTAATTAGTGAGCCCCAGCTTCAGAGAAAGACCCTGTCTCAAAAAGTAAAGAGGACAGCAATGGAGAAAGACTCCTATCACCAATCTCTGGTCTCCGCATACATGCACACACACACATTCCCACGTGCATGTGTGTGCACATGCATGTGCGAGCACATACACACACATACACACATGTACACACACACAGACACCACCACCACCGCTGCCACTACCACCACCATAAACACCACCAACACTACCATCAGCACACGTACAGAAATCTGAATATGAAGTACTACAATAGCTAGCATGCTAAAGTACGAAGTTGTTTGAGTATATTAGGAGTTGAGGGTCCTTGGGTTGAGTCACAGCAGACAGGAATAAAGAAAACTATAAAAATATTTTTAGTTTCTAGTTGGACATAAGATCAACATGCAATGGGAAGGTAGACATAAAGGTATTTTCCCTGCAAACAATGACATGAGTACAGAATTCATTATGATTTGTAGCATGAATTGGAAACTAAACAACAAAACTTCAAGAAGCTAAGACAGAAGGATCAAGAGTTCAAGACCATCGTATATTACTCAGTGAGTACCAGGCAAGCATCAGTAAAAAATGAGACACAATCTAAAAATTATTTTTCTTAAAAATGAAGAGGGGGACAGAAAACACTAATTTACGTTAAGGAAATCTACTGGTTTTGGCTTTTCTCTTTACCGAAGGTGCTATGTATGTTTGGTTGTGGGGCGGGGGAAGGATATGGAAATAAATGCCCCAAATGTAGTGTCCCTTAAATGAATGGACTTGCCCAGTCTACCTAGTCTTTGGTAATTTTCTGATGATGGCAAGTGAAAAATAGCCAGACAAGTGAAAAGGCGGCCTTCTCCTTAGTCTGGAATGTAGCAGCTCTCATTTTTAATCCTAACCCTATCACTGACTAGCTGAGCAAGCTGGTGGCCTGATTAGGTTGAATTAAACCACTGGAGACTCTTCAAAAACCGGAGTCAAGCCATGTCATGAGGTATATATAGTACAGGGTACTATATAGAAGTACATTGGCGACAAAATGTATTTCCCTCTGGGCCTCTGTTTCACCCATAACAACAGGATATGGGGCTGGGAATATAGTTAGTGATAGAGTGCTTGCCTAGCATGTGCAAGGTCCTGGGTTTAATCTCTAACACAGGAAAAAAAAAAAACAGTGGAAAAATTGAACCAGAACATCTCTGTAAGAGATTTTTGGTTCTTATAGTGTGGAATTCTAGGACTTCCAGGCCCTCTAACTCATTTCTTCTTCTAGGGTGCAGTGGCACACATCTGTGACCTCATTGCCGCTAGATCTGCAAAGACGACTGGGGGGCTAATGGAAAATGCACAGGAGCAGATCCTAACATCTGGTTTGGACTGTTAAAGTACATTCGACTAGAAAATCTAGCCCCTGGCTTCAGAGGCTTTACAGGTTGGCACGGTTTACTGAGCCTTTATTTCCATCAAAAGCAAAGCTTGCTACAGCTTTGAATAAAAGGTCTCTGTGCTGAGGTACATTATTGTCTTGAGAGATCTGGTGGCCTGATTAGGTTGAATTAAACCACTGGAGACTCTTCAAAAACCGGAGTCAAGCCATGTCATGAGGTATATACTGCGACATCAAGTTCCTGTCACCACTATGAGCTGCAGGGAATGGAAAGGGTTCAATTAGGTTGCCAAATCCACTTCTACCTGCCACCAGAAGAGAACGTGGGCTAAAAACTGATTTGGAAAATAACAATCACTATTTTGTAACCTAAAGCCTTAATTAGAAGTTAGGGAATTGCTGTTCCTTCCATGCACCCCACTCTCAGACAGTGTAAGCACGCTGAGCACCAACTGTGATGAATTTCAATGTGTACTGTTTTCTCCAAGCAATATCCTGCCAGGCTGGCCTATAAGATAACAAAATCTCCAATCTTGTTATTTAGAAGAACAAGAAACAGATTTTGGGGACATTCCCACTCCTTTAAAAACTGCAAAGACCAGTTGGAAAAAAAATCTAAAACAACAGCCAAGGGCAGAAAAGAATTTAATCTCCACCCTGCGTTGGGTGTTTCTCTTCCCAGCTGAAGTGGCATGCATGCAGAGACCCACCTGGAAAAAGCAACATGGGATGGAGATAATGAGAGCAAGGCAGAGGGCAAAGAACACTTAGTCTACCCATCAGTGGTTTTCCATATTAAAATGCTATCTGCCTTTAGAAAAAGCTACAAGAGTTCTTTAATTTCCCACATAATTAATTCCTGCCAGCTGGTATGCAAAACAAAGACAAGATGGGGAACAGTATTATCATGATAGATAATTCTATATTAACATTTTCCCCTTAACACAATCCAATTTCCATAGTTTTCAAGTTAGGCAAATGACGCAGGACCAAGAGGCTCCGAAATATTAACGTGCCAAGTCTACTCCGAAACTTACCGCAGATTGTTATCTCTTTGGAGGGAAAGGTTTTTATGTGAGTGAAATTCGGCATTTGCTTCAGGACTTTCCTAGCTTCAAATAGCACCTCTAAGACGTAATGAGCATGAAGTGTCTGTGAAGGGGAGGCAGAGGAGATGGAGATAATGAACAAGGGCGAAAGACATGATTGTAGAAAACTGTAAAAACAAAGCATATGAACACATTTCAGGATAATTCTTATTCTCAAATAGATTATTCTAACATAGTGTCTAGTATATAAAATGCCCTCAGGAGCTATTTGTAATTGCATAAATGAATGGTTCCTCAAATCATTTATAGTCTCATGTTATTTTTTTGATATTATCCCTTTGCTTAGAATATTTTTGATTATTTTTGGTTCTTAGATTCCAAGAGAAAAGATGGGGAAAATGGGGGTGAGATTCACATGCCTGAAGAAAGGGTTCAGACAAAAGACAGACAGAATCATTTCAAAGGGAGGGAAAAAGGAAGCAAGGAAGGAAAAGAAAAGCAGAGAGCCTGTGAATGAGGTGTAGCTCTGTATTTGGTGAGACACCCTACCATTCGTGTAGTAGGTATTACTGAGCATGGAGACCTCACGAGGCAGCCACACAAGCTCCCAAGCTTCCTAAAGATGGCTCCAGAATTTGGTGTACTGAGTGCTCAGGACAAGAAGCACATTGCAATAAAAGTCTAACTATAGAAAATATTCCAGTCTCAAAATACATGGACTATTTGCTACTGCCTTCCCATACTCCTCCAGTTACAGCATCCATAGGGTCACATTTACTCTGTGTTCTCCCTGAAGCTTTTAAAAATCTAATGTGTCTTTCTCCTTCGTTTTAAATTATGAATTTTCCAAACACATACTCCACAAAGAAAAGATAACAAATAAGTGATTATCACACAGACTTAACTGATATCAACACAGCTTTAAGAGTCAGGTTGGCTTAGAATTGGGATGTTCACTATGGTAGTCATTTGCAATATTAGATAACAGAGTGCTTAAAATGGAGGCTACTGAGAATTGAGAAGTGCTATAAGAACAAAATTTAGGCACGGCGGTGGTGGCATGCATACTAGGGAGGCGGAGGCAGGTGGATCTCTGAGTTCGAGGTCAACCTGGACTAGAGTGTGAGTTCCAGGACAGCCAGGACTACACAGAGATATCCTGTCTCAAACAACAACAACAAAGAATAAAATCCAAACTGGATTTCAAAGCCTTGGTATGAAAATAAGCACAGCAAGCCTCAATGATTTTAATATTATTATATATTAAAATGTTTCATATACTGAATTAAATATATTGTTAAAATTGATTTTGTCTTTTTTTCTTTTTTTAATGTGACTACTAGAAAATTCTAAGTATATGGTCCATATGTTTCTATTAGACCATCACTCCTGCCCATGTAAGTCTTTTCCCTACAATAATATTCTAAAGACATTCAATCCACATCCACATCTTATTACTTATTACTTATTTATTTCGGTTTGTAACACAGGTTGGCTCAAGCATCATGACAACCCTCCTGCCTCAGCTTCCCAAGTCTTTGGATTAATATTTTCTTCGTAGCTTTACATTTTGTTATATATTTTATTGGGGAGCACATACATGTCACAGCACGTGTGGGAAGGTCAGAGGACAATTTATGAGAGCTGTTTCTGTCCTTCCACCATATTCTTCAGCTTGGTGGTATCTGCCTTTGCCCACTGATCAATCTCAATGACCCCTGGATAAATATTTTTAAAGAATGGGCAAAAATGCTTTTTACTGTCTTGTTTCTGTCTGTACATTTAATCTACAGATTTCTAATGCTGGTTTAACGTGCAATTGTAGCTTTTCTGGCCCTTTGTACCACTCTCAGAGTAACTGCATCTAAAGGCATATTTCTTTTCTTTTTTATTTTATTTACTTATATTTTGTGTATATATATTCTGCATGGACACTTATATGCCAGAAGAGGGCATCAGATCCTATTATAGATGGTTGTGAGTCACCATGTGGTTGCTGGGAATTGGACCTCTGGAAGAGCAGCCAGTGCTCTTAACTGCCGAGCCATCTTTCCAGTTCTCATTTTGTTTTCTAATGTTAACAAACTTCACTGAAAATATCTTATGAACAGAAAATTCTTAATATAATTTTCTCTTTTCTTGTTTTAGTTTTTCGAGAGAGCTATATATCAGCAGGATTACAATTGTTATGTTAAAAATGTTAAATATTCAAAGTAGTTTGTTCAAATGTTGCCTTTTGCATTTATAAATATATCAGATAAAAGAATCACCTAAATATTAGCATTATCATAAAAGGATTCAAGGAAGAAACTTCTACTTTGAAAGGATATCATCTTCTTTGTGTGTGTTTGTGTGTGTGTGGTAATGTGTATATGTGTTTGTATGTATGAGAGAGAGAAAAAAAACAGAGAAGCAGAGAGACAGAGGGAGATGAGACAGAGAGAGAGATCGGTTGTCGTACAACTAGCTATGTAGACTAAGCTAGTCTACATAGAACAATCCTTCTGTCTCTGCCTTCATACCAAGTTTTGGAATGCAGACATATGCTATCATGTCTGGCTTATTTCTATTTTTAAGTTGTTTGTTGAAATAGGGTCTCACTATATAGCCTTGACTGACCTAGAAGTCACTATACAGACCAAGTTAGCCTTGAATTTATAATGACCCTATTGCTTCTGCCTCCCAAGTACTGGGATTAAAAGCATGTGTCACCATAAATGGCTCAAGTAGTTTTTAGATGACAAACAATATATTGTTTTTACTGAATTAAAAAATATCATTAAAAAGGAGGTGGAATAAGCTGGGCAGTAGTGGCACACACCTTTAATCCCAGCACTTGGGAGCCAGAGACATGCAGATCTTTGTGAGTTCGAGGCCAGCCTGGTCTACAGAGCAAATTCCAGGATGGATTCCAAAAGATAGAGAGAAACAATGTCTCAAAATAACCCAAAAGGGGGGGCACAGAATAATGAAAAATTATTTTTCCTTTTAATTTCTGTCCCTAGAGATAGCTAATGTTGATAATGTTTTGAGTATCTTTCCCCTAAATATTCTTTGTTTATGAGCATATAAAAATTAATATAACCATACAGTAATATTCAAATGTAGGTATAAATGTTCAATCCCTTAACTAAACGTGATATTATATATCAAAGTAACTGTACATTAACTTAAAAATTAGGACTAAAGCACATGGATGAACTCTAACAGCATCATGACAAGTGAAAGAAGCCAAACACCAAGGACCATGTCTGTTCCACTAATATGAAACATCCAGAGTAGTGACTGCTGGGAGCCGAAGTCTGGAAGAAAGAGAGTGACTGCTAATGAGTAGAAAGTTTCATTTTGAGCCGGGCGATGGTGGCGCACGCCTTTAATCCCAGCACTCGGGAGGCAGAGGTAGGCGGATCTCTGTGAGTTCGAGACCAGCCTGGTCTACAGAGCTAGTTCCAGGACAGGCTCCAAAGCCACAGAGAAACCCTGTCTCGAAAAACCAAAAAAAAAAAAAAAAAAAAAAAAAAAGAAAGTTTCATTTTGAGATGACAAAAACATTTGGAAAATAGGAGTCCTTGCCCAAGGCTGTGGGTTCAATCCCTAATACTGAAAAATAAATATTTTTTTTAAAAAAAGTTCTAGGACTAAATAGCATTGACAGTTTGATAGCATTTTAATATACCCCCAAACCATCTTCTTTGCAATTGCTGTAACAAAACAACAGGACCAAGGGAATTACGGTTCCAGAGGATGAGAGCTCATGACTGTCATAGCAGGGAACATAGCAGCAGGCAGGCAGGCCGGTACTGAGGCAGTAGCTGAGTGCGCAGGTCTCTGCAATCAACAAGAACTAGGCAGAGAGAATGGCTCTAGTCTTTTAAATTTCAAAGCCCACCCCAAGTGATACCCTCCTCCAATAAGCCACACCTTCTAATCTCTTCAAACAGTTTCATCAATGTCTGTGTGTTGGGTGGAGCAAATATTCAAATATATTGGCCTATGGGGGCCGTTCTTATTCAGACCACCATAGCCACCAAAGCATATACTTTGAAATAATTAAAATGACTAATTTTATGGGATTTTTATCTCAATTTTAAATATGTATTTCTCAATTTATTTTTACAAATGAGAACACATTATATACAATGCTCAACATTGATTCCTCTTTTAATATATTTTCTCCATATTTATAGAGCCCAAATCATCAAACATCAATATAATGGTTGCATATTTTATCTACTTGAACATACTATCTATGTTTGTTTTAACTCGGACTCCAATGATGTAATTATTTAAATACTCTACAAGTCTGTTGCCATTGTTCCTTATTTGCCTCAGTTTTATTTCTTGTATTTTGCATCCTCATAGGCCTGGTTATATTGATACTGAGTTTTGGATATTATATATGAAAAACTATAAAACTATTTTAGGCCTATTTTCTCCCAGAGAATTTAAATTTGCTGTTGGCAGGTGGCCAGAAGAACTAGCTATCTAGCGTGATCTCAAATCATTTTTAGGAATTAGATGATTCAAAGGCCTGCTGCACTTCCAGCAAAGCCAATCTACCACTTCCAGTTCACTCTTATTTCTGGGCTATGCCTTCTAGCGTCCTAATCTGAGAATGAGGGTTTGGGATGATGTCAGAGAAAAGGGTAGTATAGGGAAATTCAAGACCCAATCTTTCCAGAGAAATATTGAAAAATCAAGCAAAATTTATTTTACTTTATTTTCCTTTTCCTTTTTCTCTCTTGCTTGCTCTTATCTTCTGGTGTTTAAGGCAATCTCTGTTAAAATATTAACTGTACACAAGCTATAGGAACAAGCTGTAGTAACAAAACTGTTCACAACCAGACTTAATAGACATCTATAAAACACTTTACCCAGCAAAAGAACATTACACATTTACCTTAAACACACGTGGGAAATTCTCCAGGGTAGACTAGATGATAGGCCACAAAATAAGCCTCAGAATTTTTTTTATCTTTTTAAAAGTTTTTTTTAATTTATTTGATTTTTCAAAAAATACCAATCCAAGTATCCACTCCCTCCCCTCCTCCCATTCCCTCCAAATACCCTCCCACCCCACCCCCATCCACTCCTCAGAGAGGG